ATATACATATATATATACATATATATATATATATACATATATATATACATATATATATATATATATATATATATATATATATATATATATATATATATATATATATATATATATTGTTATATCTTCACAACGGAAAAGGGGGGGGGGGGGGGGGTGAGGTTCTAATGTCCCAAAACAAATACAAATGTACCAAAACGGATTACAGAAGAGCAGCAGCTTCTTTTGACTTTCTTAAGTGCACACACGTCTGTCTGAACGTCTTCTAGGACCAATAGAATGACGTAAACAACAAAATACTTGAGAGTTATAATCTCTTTTTATTACTTATCACACTTAGTGAATGTGCACAATGAAGCAGCTGCGGAGACGAGCTCAAGGTTAAAGAGTCGCTCCCCGTCGGAGCGTCCATGAACTGCTTAAATCCTGTTTGAAGAGGTGAGGCGAGCAATCAGTTCATTTGCTGCAGGTGTGATCCCTGATCCGCGTCCTGGAGATTCCTCCCCTCGATAGTTCCGCTGTCTGTCCTTGTTGTGGGGATCCTCCCCCGTTGTCCCGGCAACCCTGCACCTCGTTGCAGCAGGAGCTCACGCCCCCACTCTCCTCTCTGCTCTCCTCTTCTCCTCCAAGGACCCGAAGTTGTGTGAAGTCCCCGGTAACAGAGAAAACAATTACTCAAAGCCCATAACACCTCCCCTGCTCACAAAAAGTTTGATGAAGTCAAACTTACAATCCGTCACATACGAAAACTTCTCAAAGAAGAAAAACGAAATAAAAAATACAACAAAAAAAAACCCAACAACCTCAACTGCAATCAGGCATGCGGGACAGGCAGTCCGCTACCACGTTATCAGTACCCCTTTTATGTTTGATCTCCAAAGTATATTCTTGCAAAAGCAATGCCCACCGCATTAAGCGCTGGTTCTGATTGAACATTTTGGCCAAGAATGACAACGGATTGTGGTCCGTATACACTACCAAGGGTACAGTAGTAGAACCTACGTATACTCGAAAGTGTTGCAGAGCCATTATTAGGGCAAGCGTCTCTTTTTCAATAACCGAATACCGGGCTTGACAGGGAGAGAACTTCTTCGAGAAATACGCCACCGGATGGTTAATCCCCTTCTCATCGGCCTGCAGTAGAACGGCACCCGCCCCCACTTGGCTAGCATCAACCTCCAAGGTGAACGGGTTGGCCAAATCTGGAGCCTTCAACACAGGTACACTGGAGAGAAGAACTTTGCAGGACGTAAAAGCTGCTTGAGCTTCTTCACTCCACACAAATGGATATTTCGGACTTAGCAGATTAGTAAGGGGATGTACCACTGTTGCAAAATTTGGACAAAAACAGCGATAGTAGCTTACCATCCCCAGAAATCGTCTCAGCTCCTGTCTCGTCCCGGGTTACCGGAAAGGCTGAAACTGACAGCACTTTATCTTTAAGCATACGAACAAATCCGTGTCCCACTTCCTTCCCCAGGTATGTGCCTGTGGCCTTAACAAACTCACATTTCGCAAGGTTAATAGTTAGATTTGCCCTTACCAAGCGCTTAAACAACTCATTCAAAGTGTGTAGATGTTCTTGCCATGACATTGTGTGTATGACTATGTCATCCAAATATGCACTGCAATTCTCTAAGCCAGCTATGACAGTATTTATAAGACGCTGGAATGTAGCAGGGGCATTCCTCATCCCGAAGGGCATGACTTTGTACTGCAGAAACGCATCTGGAGTAACAAAAGCAGAGATTTTCGACGCATTCTCAGTAAGAGGCACTTGCCAGTAACCTTTTAACAAGTCCACTTTTGATATATATGTAGACATACCTATGCTATCCACGCAGTCATCAACACGCAGTAATGGGTATGAATCCGGCTCAGTGACGGCATTAACTTTTCTATAATCTGTGATGAACCTGGTTGACCCATCGGGCTTCTCCTCTACCAAACAAGGAGACCCCCATGGACTACAGCTTGCTACCGCTAGACCATTTTGAATCAGGTAATCCGTTTCCTGTTTCATTAGACGGCGTTTTTCTGGACTTGCCCTGTAGGGGTGCTGATTTATAGGTTGAAGATTGGTCAGAATCACGTCATGGTGACACACGTTCGTAATCGTAGGGACATCTGAAAACAAGCTAAGATGTGCATTAATTAACACAGTCACATCTTCACGTTGCTGTTCTGTTAAATGTGTTAATTTCTCATCCAAATTCAACAACACTTCAGAATTTTTCAAGCGCGGACTTACTGCATGTAAAGCTCGAATCACTACTTCCTCCTGTGGATCGGACGTGGCGATGAGACCAGCTGCGCACACTGGTGCTCCATCCTGCATCTGATCCGCTGGGACCTGGGGAACATACGTTTTTAATAGATTCCCATGACAGATTTTTACAGCTTTCCGACGGTGTGATGTTTTAACCGCATAAGTGTTTTCATTGATTTTGTGGCTGATTTCAAATGGACCCTCAAAACGTGTACTCAATGTGTCACCAACACTAGGACTTAACATTAACACTTTCTCTCCTGGCAAGTAATCGCGCAGTTTAGCCTTTTGATCGAAGTGGCTTTTCATCACCTTCTGCGCGTTTTTCAAATGCTCTCGTGCTATTTGGTTTGCAACTCTTAAGCGACTCCTAAAACATTTCACGTATTCGTTTACGTTCATTTTGAGTGAACCTGGTGACTGCAGAAATCGCTCCTTTAAAGCCTGTAACGGTCCCCTAGGAGTGTGCCCAAAAACCAGTTGCGCTGGGCTGTATCCCAGTGACTCCTGCGTAGCTTCTCTAGCTGCAAACAACAAGAAAGGCACACCTTCATCCCACTGTTTAGATGTTGTAAAACAGTATTTCCTCAACATCGACTTAAATGTTTGGTGCCATCGTTCCAAGACTCCCTGTGATTCAGGATGGTACGGGGCAGACATAATATGTTGGATCCCCAATACTTTTGTGACCTGTTTGAAGAGGTCAGACGTGAAATTTGACCCTTGATCTGTTTGGATCACCCGTGGTAGACCAAAGAGCGAGAAGAAATTTGATAAAGCTCTGATCACACTCTTGGTAGTTATGGTAGCCAATGGTATTGCCTCTGGAAATCTGGTGGCACTGCACATTATGGTCAACAAAAACTTTTTCCCCGACTTTGTGCGTGGCAACCGACCCACACAATCTACGACGACGTGATCAAAAGGCTGTCCTATTACAGGAATGGGTGACAACGGCATCGGTTTAATGGGCTGATTTGGCTTTCCCACCATCTGACACGCGTGGCAGGCTCTGCAAAACTTTGCTATATCCCGTTTCATCCCCGGCCAAAAGAAATGATCTAGGATAGACAAATAAGTTTTCTTCACTCCCAAGTGTCCTGACCATCTACTTTCATGAGCTAAGGCTATTATCTGTCTTCGAAAACACTCCGGTATTACAATCTGGTGTACCACTCCCCAGGGAGCTTTCCCCTCTACTGGATTTTCCCAGCTCCTCATCAGTAGATCGTTTTCCAAAAAGAATGTTGTCGAGAATTTAACAGACGAATGTACTGCATCAAAACACTTCTTTAATGTTTTGTCCCTTTTCTGTTCATCTATTAATGTTGAACGTGAAACCAAACGGTCCTGGGACTCAAAAGGTAGATTCTCTTCTGCAACATCTTTATCGGTAACGCCTACATCTGGTAGCTGGTGCATGTCTGAAGTACAACTGGAGTCAGGAAACAGATCAGAAAGCCCTTGGAATTCATTTGCGTCATGACGTACAGCTGATCTGGTCACTACACACGATGGAACAATACCTCGTGGAGACATCACACAGGCAACTTTCTCTGGGTGTTCAATGACCTGAGGCACAGGAACAACAGCTCCTCCCGCTATGTCATTTCCCAGCAGCAGATGAATCTCTGCAATAGGTAAAGTTTTACACACAGCCACTTTAAAAACACCTGACACAAGTTTACTTGCAATTTTCACTTCACAAAGTGGACATGACATAACTTCACCCGTCAAACCCTTCAACAACACAGACGTTTCTGTATTGACTGTTGCCTCAGAGGGAAGCGCAGACTCCAGTACCAATGTTTGGGATGCTCCAGTATCTCTGAGGATTTTTATTGGCACGCTCTCCCCCTCTCCCATACTTATAGAACCCTCCAAAATAAATGGTTCATATGAGGGGTCAAGCATGTCTGGCCTTTTCTGAGTTTTATCTGATGCAACAAATGCTACCACACGGTCATTTTTCCTCTCTCTCCTCTTCAAGATCAGACAATCTTTGACAATATGACCCACTTGGTGACAGTAAAAACACCTTGGTGGACTTGTTTCTGAGTTTCTTTCAAAGTGCCTAGGTTTTACAGCATGCGATCTGTCCCTGACTACTTTCACCACTTTAACACGGTGGGTTAGCATGAACTCATCAGCCAGAAGTGCTGCAGCTGACAGATTATTCACTTTCTGCTCATTTAAATACAACACCGTTCTTTCAGGAAGACATCTTTTAAACTCCTCCAGTAGAACTAACTCTCGTAATTCGTTCAGGTTGGTCACTTTTGAGGACTGCAGCCATTTATCAAACAGTAAACCCTTCTCTCTCGCAAATTCAACAAATGTTTGCCCCTCATCACGTTTACGTAGAGATCTAAATTTCTGCCTATAAGCCTCAGGTACTAATTCATAGGCATGTAAAACTGCGTCTTTAATAGTATCATAATCCCCACAGTCAGAGACAGATAGAGCAGTCATTACCTCCTGCGCTTTCCCAGACAACTTACATTGAAGGAGAAGAGGCCACACTTCACGCGGCCAACTGAGTGTCGTAGCGATACGCTCAAATGCGGCGAAGTAACTATCCACTTCGGCCTCGCGAAACGGCGGCATCAGCCCCATGCACTTCCCGACATCCAGTCTCTCAGTCGCTGCCAGGGAGCCTCTAGATGCTGCATCAGCACCATGGACAGTTCTCTCAGCCTGCATCTCCAGCTCCATTCGTCTCATCTTTAGTCTCGTGTCAGCTTCCAGTTCGAGTTCCAGTTTGCGAAGCTCAAACTCCCGCCTTCGCTGTTTGTCCTCGGCCTCATATTTCAGGCATGCGAGTCGCACCTGTAGCCGGGCGTGATCAGGTGACACCGGTCCCGAACCAGGCCGCGGTTCCGGAGACTCTGGATCGTAACGAGGAAGAGTCACTGGGGGAGACTTGGCGACCTTACCCCGCTCTGGAGTCCTCATGATCTCCGCTCCATCCTCGGAATCACCACCCTCAGATGCGCTCCTCGCCTCTTCACCTTCCGCATTGTCCATATCCTGCTGTGAAGGCAAAATAGCAATATCAGCCAAAGGGGAGAGAAGTTTTTTATTTTCCATGAAGGAGATAATCTCGGCCCTGAGATCAGTCTTCAGCATGTGCTGTGAGCCGGCAAGACCAAAGTAGGCAGCTACTTCCAGTAAATCGCTCTTGCGACACTTTTCCAGTTGTCTACGTGAAGGTGCAGCAAGAAAATCTTTCAAAATAAATGTAGACATCGCCTCTCAAAAGCAATGACAAATGACAGAAATGACAAAAGGTTACTATACCAAATACCCCAAACTTATGCCCCCCTCCCGGGCCGAAATCCTACCCACTATTCTGAGTAATAAAACCACAAAAACTCGGACGAGCCCCCATGTTATATCTTCACAACGGAAAAGGGGGGGGGGGGGGGGTGAGGTTCTAATGTCCCAAAACAAATACAAATGTACCAAAATGGATTACAGAAGAGCAGCAGCTTCTTTTGACTTTCTTAAGTGCACACACGTCTGTCTGAACGTCTTCTAGGACCAATAGAATGACGTAAACAACAAAATACTTGAGAGTTATAATCTCTTTTTATTACTTATCACACTTAGTGAATGTGCACAATGAAGCAGCTGCGGAGACGAGCTCAAGGTTAAAGAGTCGCTCCCCGTCGGAGCGTCCATGAACTGCTTAAATCCTGTTTGAAGAGGTGAGGCGAGCAATCAGTTCATTTGCTGCAGGTGTGATCCCTGATCCGCGTCCTGGAGATTCCTCCCCTCGATAGTTCCGCTGTCTGTCCTTGTTGTGGGGATCCTCCCCCGTTGTCCCGGCAACCCTGCACCTCGTTGCAGCAGGAGCTCACGCCCCCACTCTCCTCTCTGCTCTCCTCTTCTCCTCCAAGGACCCGAAGTTGTGTGAAGTCCCCGGTAACAGAGAAAACAATTACTCAAAGCACATAACATATATATATATATATATATATATATATATATATATACACACATATATATATATACATACATATACATATACATATATATACATATACATATATATTTATATACACATATATTTTACAGGCGAGGCCGAGGCTCAGACTGAGGCCTTTCCACGGAGCTAGCTCTGTGGTCACGTGGGTCTGATGCTCATAAATTATACAGAATTTTAGGCTTTTAATACACTTAAACAGAAGAGTGAGAAAAAAATTCACCCCCCTCAGAGTTGTCATGAGTGTAAACTAGATCATTTAAACCAAAAACATGTTTTGGTACCAGGCTGTAAACATGTTTATTTCTGCTGTGAAATTGGTATTTTTAACATGGGAGCCAATGAGGATTTGCTCGCCTCTGACACCAGCCCCTAGTGGGTGAGGATGGAACTGCAATTTTTGGTACTTCCATGTTTGCTTCAATTTTTCACCCGCATTGTGGGGGCTTGGTGGAGATGCATTCATTTACTATGCTGCTCACATATGGATTCAACTTCCTCATGACCTCAGATGTGTCCCAATCCTAGTGTTGTGTAAAACAAAAAACCCTCATGTACTCATCAGCCTTTAAATGAAGTGTTTCTTGTCATGCGTCATCTCCATTGTAATCTGTGCTGTAACTTCGTCTTCTTCTTTAGCTCTAAACTGGATGTTGTTTTCATATCATGTCCTGATAATTGTAAAGCACATTGAACTGCCTCTGTGTTTGAAATGTGCTCTATAAATAAAGCTGCCTTGCATAGCTGCTTACTGCAGGACTATTCAATTCCAGGCCTCGAGGGCCGGTATCTAGCACGTTTTAGTGGTTTCTCTGCTCCAACACACTAGATCCATTGGTTGAATCACCTGTGCAGCAGCTCGTCAGGCTCTGCAGAAGCCTGTTAATCACCTGCTCATTGAAAACCGGTGTGCTGAAGCAGGGTTTAAACCATAGACTGTACATACTGGACAAAACTATTCCATAGCTCCAATAACACGTTTTTTGTCTATAATGGGAGGTGGCCACCACCGCCATTTTGACCGTGTCACAGGTTCCGTCCAGCCCAGACAATTCCATAAAAGGGAAGAGAGGAGGAGCTGAGGGTGGGGCTGTAAGGCTGGGATCGACGGACGAACTAGCTACAAGCTAACCTGAAGCTAACCCTGGCTAACGCGGAGGTGGGAGCCGAGTTAACGGATGTAGCCACCTAGCTTCAACCCAACCGGAGCTAACTGTGGAACACCCATCGACCTGAATGAAGTGGAGACTCCTTGGACACTCTATTAGTGCAATTAATACCACTGCAAGACATTTTGTCCAACAATTGCACCAATAATATCCAAAACAGAATTCACAAGCACAGAGACTCAAAATCCCGAAACAGTTTCCAGGCCAGACCGAGGCTGTACTGAGGCCTTTCCACGGAGCTAGCTCTGTGGTCACGTGGGTCTGATGCTCATTAATTATACAGAATTTTAGGCTTTTAATACACTTAAACAGAAGAGTGAGAAAAAAATTCACCCCCCTCAGAGTTGTCATGAGTGTAAACTAGATCATTTAAACCAAAAACATGTTCTGGTACCAGGCTGTAAACATGTTTATTTCTGCTGTGAAATTGGTATTTTTAACATGGGAGTCAATGAGGATTAGCTCGCTTCTGACACCAGCCCCTAGTGGATGAGGGTGGAACTGCAATTTCTCTTACTTCCGGGTTGGGACCATTTTTAAAGACGCATTGTGGGGGCTTGGTTTAAACTAAAACGTGCTGGATACCGGCCCACGAGGAATTGAATAGCCCTGGTGTACTGTTAACATTTTTGGAAGCTTCAAGCTGCTCTTTTGGTGTGAAAATTTGAGGTTTTTAGTGAGAAGGTGTGGTTGTGTTAATGTAGCTTTAGAAAAAGGTGTTGTGTTTACACTCTGGGAACATGGAAGACACGTTTATGAAATGTGTTGTAGCATTTGAGAAAAACTGTAAGATCCTCCTTCTCACACACTCTGCAGGCTCATCATATCACTCATATATCATTGATCGGATTGTTCCATCTGTTCCTAAGAGCACTTTGCTCGCTGACTGCAGTTTTACTGATGGTTCCTAGAATATCTAAAAATAGGATGGGAGGCAGATCTTTTAAATCCTCTCCCTGGGCTGCCACCTTGTTGTGGTGGAGGGGTTTGAGTGTCCCATTAATCCTAGGAGCTTAGTTGTCTGAGGCTTTATGACTCTAGTAGGGTCACCCATAGCAAACAGGTCCTAGGTGAGGGATCAGACAAAGTGCAGCCCAAAGACCCCTTATGAAGAACAAGACAAATGAAAACATTGTTCCCTCACCCAGACGCGTGTCACCAGGGCCCCCCTCTGGAGCCAGGCCTGGAGTTGGAGTTGGGGCACGATGGCGATCACCTGGTGGCCAGGTTTTTACCCATGGAGCCCAGTTGGGCACAGACCGAAGAGGAGACGTGGGTCCCAAAGAGGCAAAAGGGGTCGGGTGCAGTGTGAGTCGAGTGGTTGCCGAAGGAAGGGACCGTGGCAGTCTGATCCAACTTGCTCTTGGTACGTGGGATGTCACCTCTCTGGTGGGGAAAGAGCTGGAGTTGGTGGCTGAGGTTGAGAGGTTCAGCCTAGATATAGTCAAACTCACCTCAACACATGGCTCTGGCTCCGGAACCAGTTTCCTTGAAAGGGGTTGGACTTTCTGCCACTGTGGAGTTGCTCTGAGTCGGTGCTTTTATAAGACACACCATGCCGGCAAATCGGCGTAATATTACCGCAATGGTAAGTCTATAAACGCGCCATGCCAGCATGGCGTTGCGCGAATACTGTGGGATTCGTTCCGCCTCGCTTGGTAGTAATATTGCCGCATCAGCCTGAGGAAGCCTGCAGCCGCCGGTGAAACGTAGCGACAAAACAGGTAAACAAAACTGTTTCTGTGTTTTAAAAAGAACGACAGCATGGAATTAGAACCACGACACAGCAAGAACACACCTAAGATGTTTAAGACTCACCTTTTTAGCTTAGCTTTTAACTGATTATTATTTATGATTTACTTGCTTATATTTTCAGACAGTTTTGTTATATATCTATGTTTTTATATTGTTTTACTATTTTTACAGTTATACTGATCGCTACTTATCTATGTTTTATATTGCCTCTCGTTACTTTATTCTCTTACTTATTCGAATACTTTACAGCGTTTCCTATGTGGGAGCCCTCTGCCTCAGGGCCGGTGGTCAGCGGCCTCTGTGCTCTCCAGGTGGTGCTTGGGCGTAGGTGGGGGGCCTCACCCTGTGTTGGTGTCCTGGCTGTTGCCATGGATCTGCTGCTGTTGGGGCAGATGACTCCCCCGATGGTGTTTCCTTACGTACCTGACTTGTCTGAGCTCAGCCCAGTGTTTACTGATATATATGGCTGGCCGATATATTGAATTTTTGCTCTTACGGACAAATTTGGTTTTAAAAGCCAATGAAAAACATTTTATAAATAAAAATCAGGCACTCATGTGACCAACTAGACTGAATAAAGGACCCGAAGGACCCCAGCAAATCATTTTTTCATTTTTTAAATGTTCCGGTTTGTTTTATATTAGAAGTTCAATAAATGTTAAGAGATTTATTGACTCATTTAAATTATACTGCACACAGTGAGTGTTCAGTTGTCTTTCACAATCAATGTGATTGGCCTCAATAATCTGCTTTAGATGTCGGCCACCGGTAACAAAATGGTTTAAAAATCGGTATCGGCCTTAAATAAATGCACCAGCCGGCCTCTAGAGTCTACGGCTCACTATCACACACTTAAGAGGAAAAGCTTGTGAAAACACACACAGGTGCTTACAAGGTTTTCTCACCGGTATGGACTCGGGTGGCACTAGACACACGCCTCTCCACCTGTGAGAGTGAATCTGTAAGGCTCGTCTGTGGCACTCAGACAACAATTCTGGTTTTACTGTCATAAAGGACATGAGGGAGAAAAAGTACATTTTTGGCAAACAGATGCCGGTGTCGGTGCAAGATCGGCTCGGGGTCCTTCGACTGCCGATGACGTCAAAGTACGGCAAACCAACTCAGACAAAATACACTACACATCTATACTGTTGGAAATAATTTAGCAGTTTCATTATTAAAATAATGTTTCTTACGACGTAAGTTTGTGTTTATAATGGTATTTGTAAATAAAACACTATATTGTATTCATAATGTTGAACTCCTCTTTGAGCACATCCCTAATACCTATGATCCTTAAGGAAACAAGTGTGTCCCGTTTATTGAAGTATTTTGTGTTTAGAGTTTTTGACGTCTTGTCCATGCGTAGTTCAGCTACGCTCATAGTTGCTAGCCAAAACTCTGGAGTTAAAAGTTTTCTGGCTTTACTAAAATACCTGTCTGTACTTATTTGATTGATGGTAGTTTTACTTTCTATTAGACTCCAAATGTAATCATCTGGCACGTTTCTAATTCATAATTTGTAATAATGTAATCGGTGATATTAGCATTAGCATTCCTATGGGTTTTTCCACGTATATTAGCATTGCGCTAACCACTCGCTGCCAAATTGCAGCCTTTGCGATTAGAAAATCTCCTTTTGTCACATCGCAATTTAATTGCACATGCAGTTAATCGTTCAGCCCTAATATACATGCAGCTCTATGCTAAAAGTGTATTTTCAAAGAGGTAATGATGGATTTCTTTGTAAAAGTTGTCCATCTTTCCAACAGAAAATTAGCCTGGACCAACGTAACGTCATAACAACGTAACGTGATTACGTAATTCCTAAGGTTCATGTTCAGCCAATCAACTACTTTGACGTCATCGGCAGTCGAATGACCCCGAGCCGATCTTGCACCCGAGCAGATCCTGTACCGACACCGGTCTGTAAAGTTTTTGTCTACATTATCTCATTTAAAAACCTCCAATTCATGTTTTGAACTTTCTATTGCTTGTAGTTGTAGGGTTTTTGTAAGGGATATGACAGTGTTCAAGCTCAATCCTGAAGCGTGAGCGAAATACAAATAGGTGCGTCAGTAACAAAAGTAATGAGCGGGTGCTGCTCAAATGTTCATGCTTCTTCTCAAACCATATCAAAATAAAACAGCGTCAAGGTTACGACTGAGGTCATCATTCTCTAAAAAAGACAAAAGTGTGCTCACACAGTAATTTGGGGATATTAAAATGACATTTATTACAATCTTACGTTCACGTTCCAAATCTACATGCACAAGACCGTTATAATGATTTCAGGTAACTTCATCTGCAGATCAGGGTCTCCATGCATGTACAAGGCAACATAAAACTGCATTTAAAATGAAAGGTGGCTGGGCGTTGAACCTGCGGGGCATCAATGCTACGAACTGTTCCACCATGTTGTCCACTTATACAGAGCTCAACGAACGTCAATCCTTCTAAAACTTTCAATCACCTAAACTGTCTAAACCTTTTGCTCAAGAACCCATCAGCTCAACATTCCCACAAAGGTAGCAGTAGTCTACACCATCAAGTGAAGGGTGAAACTCTCACAACAACAAAAATGTCAGAATTTATTCTAAACAATAACTTCAATAAAAACTTTTGTCTAGCTAAACAATAAAAACCCAATCTTTGCAGAACTTCCAGAAGAACATTGCCTAATCATCTAATGGGGAAGTCTGCTTGTTACCTTAATTCTGGACGCTGCTTCCTCTTCAACAGTTTCACTGGTACCATAAATGGGTTTAGGGGGGGACAGGACTCCATTAGAACGGCCTGTGATTGATCTGTAGTGGTCTTCCCTGATGATGGCCCATCTGCTTCATTCAACTTTCTTTTGTCTGTGGTCCCGGTTGGGTCTGACGGACAGAAGTCCTGAGCCCTGTGGGCCTCCTTCTGGACATGGTCCTGTCCCTGCAGCTGGCTTAGCAGCTTGGCGTCAGCAGCAGTCGACATATACCGATACACCTGCAACAGGAGGAGAAGGAGGTCAGATAAACCTAGATCTGATCATTTTACAGCTCCACAGGTCAAATATTCAAACTACCACCAGAAATGGCACAGAAAGCATGAAGAAAGAATTTACAGCAGATATATTATTAAGTTTGAAAAAAGTGTGATTCTCTAAGCCTGTTTAGAGGTTCCCAAAGTGGAGGGTATGCCCCCTAGGGAGGGCATGATGCAATTACGAGAGGGGAGGATTTAAAATAATATATGATGACGCATCGCTTATGTTTGCCTTTACCTGCTCAACAATGGGCCACAAGTGAGACAGGTGTCTCTGCTGTGCCTACATTTAAACCAAATACAGATCAAAGCCAGATTATGAAAATTAACTTGTCTCAAACTGGCAACCCAGATTTAACAAACAGCAACAAGCGCTGCATTTGATCCTCAGTTTTAATTCACATTTAATGAAATGAACAATGTTTTAAAAGTTAAGCTAACGCCTAAATCGTCACAGTTTAACTAAATATGACACATTAAGAGTTTCTGTCACACAGCTACAAGAGCAGTTCTTGTCAATCAGTTCCAAGAAGTCCAACTATTCTGTCTTAGACACGTGTAGCATCAGCGTATCACTAACCCCCAAATTCCACTACCTCCGCTCCGCTCCGGCACAAACTCCGGAGCAAAATTGGTCTCGCTGTAGTCAATCAGAGCAATTCCACTACTGCGGCCGTGCTCCGGCAGTGCGCCGCCCTCTGTTCGGGCGCCCGGCAAAAATAGAATCGATCCTATTTTTGCCGGACGCCGGAGCACCTCCGCAGTCAATGGACAGGAATCACAACCGCCCAACAGGAAAAGGAGCAAGCACAACTTCCATTTTTCACAATAAATCGATAAACAAAAAGCGTTTTTTGTTTCATATGCACAGGTTTAACAACCTTTAACAACTATCAATGGCGGCTGAAGTTTAAATGCACAAAAGTAAGCCATAAATACAGTTTCCACTATCAGAGTAGTCACACTTTGTTGATCCAAACACTGCTGATCTCTCAACACAAATGATGGGCAGATTAAACAGTTCATTTCGATGCTTCTCCCACACAACGGGTGTTTGGATATAACTTCTGCATTTATTGCTCAGACTGTATCGCAAGATCTCGAAAATCCCGCGCATGCTTCCCCAACTATTACTTAATACTGCTAACCGCCACCAGGTGTTGCAAAAGAGAATGAATTTGGGCCACAGCTGCAAAATGTAACCCATGACACTCCCCGTCTAGTATTAACTGAATACTAAACATAACCAACTATAACTTCAAGAATAAGGTACACAAGATACATCAAGTTAAAATTAAAGTTAAAGTCCCATCAGTTGTCACACACTTATGTGTGTGCGAAATTTGTTCTCCGCATTTGGCCCATCCCCTGGGGGAGCGGTGAGCTGCAGACACAGCCGCGCTCGGGAACCATTTGGTGGTTTACCCCCAATCCAACCCCTTAATGCTGAGTGTCAAGCAGGGAGGCATTGGGTCCCATTTTTCAAAGCCTGGTATGACCAGACTAGGAATCGAACCCTGATCTCCCAGTCTCAGGGCGGACACTCTACCACTAGGCCACTGAGCTGGTCCAACATGTTAGTCTTTTGGTGACATAAGAACTGTCTCTGAAACAGGTCTGAGGAATGTCTTGATTGACCCGTGTCTTGCGACTCTCAGCTCAACCTTCCTGACTAGCCCATCGCTACAAGAAAATGTCTTGGTTACGAGTGCCATGGGCCAATCGTTGCGTTTGGCTTGAGAATCTTTAAAAAAGACCACATCACCTGGCTTCAGGTTTGGACGTTCTTTTCGCCATTTGCTGCGGCTCAGAAGCGTTGACAAGTATTCACGCCTCCATCGGCTCTAGAATCTCTCTGCAAGGTTCTGCACTTGCCTCCATTGTCGTTTATGGAGGTCAGATCCTGTAAAGTCACCAGGAGGAGGAGAGAGAGTGCAGACCTTTTGAGTTAAAAGCATGGCTGGCATTAACAAAAAAGGTGACTCTGGGTCTGTTGAAATGGGCATAAGAGGTCTTGCATTGATGATTCCTGTGACCTCAGCCAACAAGGTAGACAGTACGTCATGTGTCAAATGCGAGGGGCTTGTCTGCTGCAGCATAGAATCCAGTATGCATCTAGAGACACCTATCATTCGCTCCCAGGCTCCTCCCATGTGGGACGCGTGAGGCGGATTGAAGATCCATGAACAGCCCTCTTCATGCAGGTACCTCCTCACTCTGGGTTCATGCGGGTCATTCATCAGGATTTCCAAGTCTTTACAGGCCCTTATGAAGTTTGTTCCACAATCTGAACGAATTTGCGTGACAGGTCCTCGCAAGGCAAAAAAACTTCTCAACACATTTATGAAGGTTGAGGAGTCCATGCAGTCAATCAACTCGATGTGAATTGCACGAGAGCTCATACAGGTGAAGAGAATGGCCCATCTCTTGCTTTGTGCCTGCCCTCCTCGCGTACGTCTCGCCACGACATTCCAAGGGCCAAACACATCCAGCCCGACGTTGGTGAATGGTGGTACGATCGATGGGCAGATCTGCCACCTTCTGCTCTGTCGCTTTTCCACAAAGCTTGTTACATTTGACACACTTATAGATAATGCTGTTGATGCGCTTCCTGACACCAACAATCCAATACCCGGCAGTGCGAACAGCAGCTTCGGTGAACACACGACCCTGATGTTTGACTCGGTCATGGTAATGTTCCACAAGAAGGGTTGCAACATGGCTGTTACCTGGAATGATCACTGGAAACTTCTCTTTGAAATCCAATGCAGCATTCCTAAGCCTTCCTCCTATTCTAAGGAGACCTTCGTCATCCAGGTATGGGTTCAGTTTCTTCAGGACACTGTTCTTTGGAATAATGTTTCCACTAGCAATACAGATAAGCTCTTCTTCGTAAGCTTCTCTTTGTACGCTTTTAATCATGACAGTTTCGGCTTGCTGCAGTTCTTCAATGGTGCAAGGCTTTTAACAGAGATGCACCTTGATTTCCAAATGACATGCAAAATTTGCTTTCATTCGAAATAAGTACATTGGACTACTAAGCAACAGTCCAGTGCTGCTTCTCTGTAGCCCAGGTCAGGCGCTTCTGCCGCTGTTTCTGGTTAAAGTGGCTTGACCTGGGGAATGCAGCACCTGTAGCCCATTTCCTGCACACGGTGGCTCTGGATGTTTCTACTCCAGACTCAGTCCACTGCTTCCGCAGGTCCCCCAAGGTCTGGAATCAGTCCTTCGCCTCAATCTTCCTCAGGGTCCGGTCACCTGTTCTCGATGTGCAGCGTTTTCTGCCACACTTTTTCCTTCCCACTGACTTCCCACTGAGGTGCCTTGATACAGCACTCTGGGAACAGCCTATTCGTTCAGAAACTTCTTTCCGTGTCTTGCTCTCTTGCTTGAGGGTGTCAATGATGGCCTTCTGGACAGCAGTCAGGTCGGCAGTCTTATCCATGATTGCGGTTTTGAGTAATGAACCAGGCTGGGAGTTTTTAAAAGCCTCAGTAATCTTTTGTAGGCGTTTAGAGTTAATTAGTTGATTCAGATGATTAGGTTAATAGCTCGTTTAGAGAACCTTTTCATGATATGCTAATTTTTTGAGATGGGAATTTTGTGAGCTGTACGCCAAAATCATCAATATTAGAAACAATAAAAGGCTTGAACTACTTCAGTTGTGTGTAATGAATCTAATATATATGAAAGTCTAATGTTTATCAGTACATTACAGAAAATAATGAACTTCATCACAATATGCTAATTTTTTAAGAAAGACCTGTAACACAGCCCAGCACAATGCTTATTCTTTCTTTTTACCAGGGATAGTGCTGTCGTCATCTCTCATCTGGGTAGTGAAACATTACATTTTCCGCGTACCCCCTGTAATGCGCTCACGGACCACAAAGGGTACTCGGACCCCTGGTTGGGAATCACTGCTCTATTGGATTGAAATCTGGTGACTGGAGAGTTTGAGTACAGTGAACTCATTGTAATGTTCAAGAAACCAGTCTGATGTTTGGAGCTTTATGACATGGTCCATTATCCAGCTGGAGGTAGCCATCAGAAGATGGGTACACTGGTCATAAAGGGATGGACATGATCAGCAACAATACTCGGCTAGGCTGTGGCGTTGCAACAATGTTCAGTTAGTACTAAGGGGCCCAAAGTGTTCCAAAAAATGTCCCCCACATCATTACACCACCACCACCAGCAGCAGCAGCCTGAACCGTTGATACAAGGCAGGATGGATCCATGCTTTCATGTTGTTGATGCCAAAGTCTGATCCTACCATCTGAAGTTTGCTGCAGAAATCCAGATTCATCAGACCAGGCAACATTTTTCCAATCTTCTATTGTCCAATTTTTGTGAGCCTGTGAGAATTGTAGCCTCAAGTTTCCTGTTCTTAGCTGACAGGAGTGGCACCTGGTGTGGTCTTCTGCTGCTGTAGCCCATCTGCCTCAAGGTCCTACTTGTTCAGAGATGCTCTTCAGCTTACCTTGGTCGTAACGAGTGGTTATTTGAGTTACAGTTGCCCTTCTATCAGCTTGAACCAGCTGGACCATTCTCCTCTGACCTCTGGCATCAACGAGACATTTTTGCCCACAAAACTGGATGTTTTCCCTTTTTTGGATGATTCTCCATAAACCCTAGAAATGATTGTGTGTGACAATCCCAGAAGATCAGCAGTTTCTAAAATACTCAGACCAGCCTGTCTGGCACCATAAGCCTTGCCAAAGTCACGTAAATCACCTTTCTTCGCCATTCTGAAGCTCAGTTTAAACTGCAGCAGACCATGTCAACATGCCACAAAGCTGTGATTGGCTGATTAGTAATGTGCTTTAACAAGCAGTTGGACATGTGTACCAGATAATGTGGCCAGTGAGCATATAAAACGGTTAGCTTCTACCAGCCGAGATGTTCGCTGCCGTTTACCTGACACAGGTGCTTCTGAAGTTTTCCACAGTTCAACAAAGGAAGTTCTTCTGGAAGAGCCATCAGCAGGTCCAGAACTATTGCACTTTCTAACACAAAAGACAGAAAATAGAAATTCAACATCGAGTGAAGAGTAAAGTTAGTAATAAATGGGACCATGAAGTTCATTCAGGCAGATGACCGCCTGCAAACAGCAAGTTTTGGTTCAGTTTAAGTTACAGGAGATTAATTTTTGTTCTCCTCATCTGCTCCTCCTCAGAGACACGGTGGACATGAGAAGATAATAAAAGTCTAAATGATCCCAAAGGGCAGGTTATTGTGTGTAGTTAGCTGGTTAGTGAAGAAGATCCATCAGCTGGAAAAGCTGTCATTTAATCCTGAATCAGCCCGCAGCCTCCTGCTGGTGTTCATAATACCAGCAAGAATGAAACAAACATCAAATATTATTGGAAGTTCAGGATTTTTAAACCGTTTTAGTTTTTTCTGTATGAAACGGAACTTGATGCTCCAACATATCTGAAATGAGACCACTGGGTTCAAACTAAATAACAAACTAAGCCAAATATTTCATTGTGTGTTATTTCTTACACTCTTTAATTGCAGCATAAATATCCGACTCTAAAGCTGCTCAAAGGCGTTAAAAGCTAACATACATTAGTACTCAAACCCCCGTCAGTTTCTCACTCTTTGTTTTATTGCAGCCATTTGCTAAAATCAATGAAATTCATGTTTTCCTCATTAATGTACACACCGCACCCCACGCTGACAGAAAAACACAGATTTTTAGAAATTTCAGCAGATTTATTAAATAAGAAACGCTGAAATATCACATAGTCCTAAGGACTGTTGAGAATGAAGAGCTTTGGCGTGTTTTGTTACATATTTGATTTAAAAAGCAAATATCTGACATCTTCTAATTATCAACGAAGCAAATCCTAATGAAATAATCGTGATGCATCGAGATTAGGGCTGTCACCGTAACCGCAAAAATGAAATATCGCAATATGAAGAAGCCCACCGCGCTGCATCATGGCCACCGCGATTACTGAACTTGGTTCAACTCAATGATGCATGTTGAGAAGGATGGCTGCACTGGTATCAAAACGAAACGTTACTTCGCTCCTTTGGGAGCACTTTGGTTTTCAGTAGGTCAGCTGCTGCGCAGCCAGAGTCCTTGGCCGAGACAGAGCTGCCACCAGCGGCAAAAAAAAAAAAAAATAACGCTCGGAGACCTGCTGAAGTCCCGGACAAGCACTGCTTCTGCAGCCGTCCCGAAGAGAGTTTGAGCCGAGCTGGAGCTCACTCGCTACCTGCAGGAGGAATGCATCCACCCTAAAGAAACCCCCCTGACACGGTGGAGCAACAACCAGGAGAGATTCCCTTTGCTCGCCAGAGTCGCACGCAAGTACGTGTGTGTGTTAGTGCAACGAGCGCACCATCCGAGAGGGTTTTCAGTGTTGCTGGAAATGTTGCCACCCCTCTCAGATCCTCTCTCAAACCGTATATGGTTAACATGCTGGTTTTCCTTGTGGGTAACAAGGACGTGACCGAGCTATAAATCACCGTCATTCATGTGTGTGAAAGTGAAATGATAGTGCCCCCCCCCCCCCCCCCCCCCCCCGCGCGCGCCCGGTACATGTAATATTTTATGCTTGATTTTAAACAACTAAACAAAATGGGGACTTGTTTCTTATTTGTTAGATGCTGCAGCCAAATTTGCATTTAAAGGTTTAACCGTCTCCTGAATTTTGTTGTTTTTAAGTTCAGTCGGACTCCGACTGTCGGAGAAACAAACGTTACTGCGATCTGTGTTGTTACTGCCCTTTGATCTGCATTCAGTAAAGTGTTATAAAAGAAGGCATTGCAATTTTTAACCTTTTTTAAATGTGTAAACATTATGTTTAGATAGTACTGCAAGAAAAAAAAGGGCTGCAATAATATCGCACACCGCAATATTAAGCCACCCTGAATCACCGCAGGGGGAATTCCTCAACCGCGACAGCCCTAATCGAGATATTGAATTGTTGACACAATAATCATAATCGTAACTGAATTGTGAGGCTACTGAAGACTCACACCTCTACTAATGGGGCACCTTCTGTTCTCCATCCATCTTCTTCCTTTGGGACGGATTTCAATAGGTATGGCATAGGCTACTATACCTATGCCGATGAATGTCCGATTTATTTGGCGATGAATGGACTAATTAAGGTTTCATTACTTGAGGACTGTCTCCGATGTAAAGGGTTGGTTGGCAGCCAGATCCCTTAGACTCAATGAGACAAAGACTGAGGCCGTTGTTTCTGACCCTAACAATTCGCTGAGCTCCACCGTAAACCCAGCCATTCCAGGTCTGGGACTAAAAGGGTGTGTCTCTAGCCTCGGTGTGAAACTGGATATACAATGGTCCCTCAGATGTTGTAAGAGCGTGTTTCCTTCAATTTCGGTGCTAAGCTCGCCTAAAGCAGATTTTGAAGAGGGTGCATTTAGAATCTGTGGTACGTGCATTCAACACCTCACGACTGAACTATGCAAACACTCAATTGGTCAGGACTTCAGCTTCAGCCCCAAATCATCTGCAGATTGTGCAAAATGCTGCAGCACGACTTTTGACAGGCACTGACCGATGTAGCCATAGGACCCCGGTTTTGGCGCACCTTTATTGGCTACCAGCAGCATTTAGAGTGACATTTAAGATCCTGCTGTTTGCTTATAACGCTTTGAATAATCTGGCACCGACCTACCTAACGGACTTACTCACGCCCTATGTGTCACTGCGTTCGCTACGTTCAGCTGACCAACTGCTGCTCTGCACCCAGACAATGCGCTACAAGTCAAGGGGGGAAGCGAGCATTCATGTACGTAGCTCCCATACTCTGGAATGCACCGCCACTCACTATCCACCACTCACCACCCATTGGTGTTTTCAAGTCACGCCTGAATACTCACCTCTATAATAAGGTTTTTAGATGGTGATTTTTTATCTCTTTTTTGCTGGTTTTATGTGCCTGTATTGGTTTTTATCTGTTTGCTGGGGCGACGGTGGTACAGGAGTTAAGTGCTCGCCTCGCAATAGGAAGGTTGCAAGTTCGAGCCCCGCTCAGTCTGTCACTGTCGTGTCCTTGGGCAAGACACTTAACCCACGTTGCCTGCTGGTGGTGGTCGGAGGGACCGGTGACGCCAGTGCTCGGCAGCCTCGCCTCTGTCAGTGCGCCCCAGGGCAGCTGTGGCTACATCGTAGCTCATCCCCACCAGTGTGTGAATGAGTGAATGACTGATTGTGTTGTAAAGCGCCTTGGGGGGTTCCAGGACTCTAGAAGGCGCTATATCAAATACAGGCCATTTACCATTTACCATTTGCTGTATTCTGTCTGTTAAATCGGCAACTGCATGTTGCTGTTTTTCTGTTGGGAGGCGCTTTGGTCAGCTCCCGCTCTGTTTAAATGTGCCATATAAATAAATCTGGTATGGTAATGGTTAGCTTCTACTAGCCGAGAAGTTCTCTGCTGTTTCCTTGTGAGTCAAGATGGGTGAGTCCATTAATGCTAAACCCTTTTCAGATTGACATTCTGGAATAAGTGTGGACAATTCAGTCCGGTTTATAACCAGAACTGTGTTTTCAGACACACCACTTTTGTACCTGAACTTGTCCTTTCGGCTGCCTTCACACAGCAGGGAAAAGTTCCAGACGTCTGAGGGGGAGGGGGTGGGAAGGCTGTACCCGGATATTGCGTAAAACATAGTGCGGTGGGCGTACATGCGTCATTTACTCAAACAAAGCCATTCAGTCAAACATGGCCGACGAAGAGCTAGAATTCCTCTCACTGATCGGACTTATGTTAAGCATAATTCTGCACTCACGAGAGACCTGGATGATGAAGCTCAATGGTTAAAGGAATCACGGAAGCGGTGTGAAGCGCTCCGTTGCGCGTCTAGGAGACGGTACCGTAGGAGGCGAGCTGCCGTGGTTTGCCGCATGCTACAGGAGCGAGCTATCTAGGTGCGCACAGCGTCCCCCGGTCCCCCCCTCCCTGTCCGGAACTCAACCTCACCAGTCTGGAGCAGCCACCCTGTCCGTGACAAGTCCGGTCCTGTTACTAGGGGCTTCGTCCGGTTTAATCACAGAAAACGTTATCCGGATGTTTGTATTCAGACACGAAGGTCTTACGGACAGAGTCCCGAACATTTCCGTTTTTCATGGCCTGTCTGAAGGGGGCTTTAGTGACGGTGTGACGTAGATTTCACCGTCTATTTTCTATCAGAAGCTAATGCAGGAGATAGGTGTAGGAGACTATTTTCCTGTTCAGCCTACATAAAACACTCAGAGTTACTGACTATTTAAAAAATAAGTACAATTCGTTTTTTCAGTGAAGGACTCTTTTTAAACGTTGTCGCTGGTCTTGATCTTGAGCTAATCCTATTTTCTTGTACAACCAGTAAGAGGAAAGTTTGCTTTGCGTTCTGAATCCAATCCCTAAACACAGCCGTCTCTGGGACGCGTCTAGAGCTTTAATCCATTTTCAGCCCACTACCATTTAGGAATGTCAGACTGTACAGTTTTCTAAAAGAATGAAGTAAAGTCTGGGAATATGAGTGGTTGTCGTCTTCTTTTTACCACATTTTCCCAAACCTGTCTGAGAGGGATGGGTGAAAGTAGAAAAATTCCAGATTTTTGATGGGACAATAAATCTATTTCAGACAGTATTCTAGATTTTTCACTGTGAAACGTTAGAAGCCCTATTCCTTTAGCCTCACTGAAACAAGAAGACCCTTCTCAGTTTTATGGTTGTGGGAAATGCCAAGTGGTCTTGTAATTCAATTCAATTCAATTCAAGTTTATTTATAAAGCGCCAAATCACGACAAGAGTCGTCTCAAGGCACTTCACATAAACATTCCAATTCACAGTTCATTGAGCCAATCAGAAATAATGTTTCCTATATAAGGAACCCAGCAAATTACATCAAGTCACTGACTAGTGTCAGCGACTATACAGCAATCCTCATACTAAGCAAGCATGCAGCGACAGTGGAGAGGAAAACTCCCTTTTAACAGGAAGAAACCTCCAGAGAATCCTGGCTCAGTATAAGCAGCCATCCTCCACGACTCACTGGGGATCGAGAAGACAGAGCAGGCAGACAAAGACACACACACACACACACACACACACGCACACGCACACGCACACACACACACAAAACATATAAATGAATGAATGAACATCAAAAGTCAATGAAAACAAGTGATCCGATGGTGAAAAACTAAACAACCGTGCATCACTGACTCACCCATCGGTGTGAGAGGAATGCTCTCACTGGGGTTCTGGTTAGCACTCAGGAAGCTGTAGATCCTCTCAAAGTCCACTGCACATGTGCCTTCATTTGCACTGGGCTGGTCGGTTGTAGGGTGTTTACTGGTTTGTTCAAGCCCAGTATGCAGAGCAGCTGTGGTGCTGGAGAGAGGAGCAGAGGGATGGGTGGAAGCAGTGGGCGGGACACGACTGGGATCTGTGAGACTGGTAGCAGCGGGAAAGGGAGGCATCAGAGAACTGCAGGAGGCCGATGCTGAAGTGGAACTGGAGACCAGTGGCTCATTTCTCGGAGCCTCCGCTGCTTCTGCAGCGTTACCACCTGGTTTAACAGGTCCTGTAGATCCATGTGGCTGCTGGGGTGCGGTGGGTAACTGGGTGGAGGCTGCTGCTTGTTTCTGGGATGAACAGTTTTTATTCGGCACTCTGATGATTGGAGATGGCGTAGGAAGTCTTCTGGCAGGACCCAAGGTCGGAGCAGGGGTTTTCAAATGCAAGTGAAAAGGGACAGGGTCAGGAGCTTCACCTGAGGAAGACAAATATATATATATATATATATATATATATATATATATATATATATATATATATATATATAAAGCTGTAAGGAACTCGTCTGAAAACATTTATTATGTAGTTGATGCACAAGTGTTCTACCCAGTAAACAGCTTTTGTTTACAGGACTTTTTACGGCTCAGGACTGAATACGATGCAAAAGTTCTTTTATTCATAACTCAACTGTATGAATTTTTCTAGTTAGTCAAACTGATCAAATTCCACCATTTCCTGATGTTAAATGAAGAAAAGAAGTTTATTTTTCATTAAAACAGAGTTTTGTAAGGCAAGGCAGGTTTTATTCTGATAGTGGGTTAGCTTAGCCTAGTGAACTAGACCAAATTCTTGCTTTGCAAAGTTTGGTCTAGGCATGCTCCACTGGAACCTCCGCAGCTCCTACCAGGACTCTGGCTAGCCAATCACAGCTGTCTAGAGGGGTTTCAAACACATAAAGAGCTGTGATTGGTCCATAATGGTGGGCCAGTCATAGTGCTCTATCTGCTTAGTGAACAAATCACAGAGCTTTATCCGCTTTGTGGGCCAATCAGGGCACTCTATATGCCTGGTGGGTGGGATGATGCAACAGAGTGAAACAAGAGAATGTCACATTCTTTGTCCAGTGGAATGGGGAGATCATTTGAAAGACAACGGTAGAACCCGCCCCACAACCGAGAGCCGTCAATGGAGCGTGGCCAGACTAAATAATACATTTATTTAGTCTGGCTTGCCAGGCTAGGGTTAGCTAGCATGTCAGCTCAGTTTATACACAATTATCTACAATGACAAACAACCTTACATTTACACACACACACACACACACACACACACACACACACACACACACACACACACACACACACACAGTTATGGAAATGTTATATTTCATTGCTTTAATCTTGTTAACAAACGTTCTGAAGCATTCTCACGCCCAGACACACACACACACACACACACACACACACACTGTTCTTCCCCTACACTCATACACACACTGACTCTCTCTCCTCTCACAATGACCTAACTCCCATCTCTATCTCTTTGCCCCCAGGGGCATCGTCCGCAGCAAACACCTGAGTCCACCTCGACTCCGTGACTCCTAACAAGGAGCGCCTATTGATAACCTTCACACAAGTTTGATAGAGCTGTTTCTTCCCACAAGACTGGAAGGAGCCCAACACTGGAGTGTTCGGGTTCAGCAGTGATCCACTCTCCTCCTGTCATCCCTCACCAGCTGCTTTAACCTCCAGAGACGGAAAAACGTACTCACTGTCATCCTCCCATTGGTCAGATAGAGTACAAGTCTCAATGAAGGCTCTCTGCGACACAGACAAGGAACTCCGTACCTCCTCCACCACTCTCTCCATCACTCTGGTGGACCTCACATCCAACCGCTCACCAAGGGTTCCAGCCGGGATGTTCAGTAAGTGACCAAACTTTACAATCCCAGCACTGGTGAACTTCACTTGCAATGCAGATGAACTTAAAATGCCAGCTTGAGAGAAGAAGTCATTGTCAAACAAGGGTTCTTGTAGCAGCCATGTCCCTGGTCCCGTGTCAGATGCCCTGGAAACTGTCAGCAGCTTAAATGTGTCCAGCATTGCCGAGTAGAACAGACTAATCCTTGTCAGATCCAAAACCTTACGATTCAACAGGAACAGGTGTTTGTTTAGCCCAAGCCCACCAACCTTCTGCAGCAGGAGATGAGCCAGGGGCAGCCAGCAGAGCCTGTCACCATTCTGAGCTGTCTGTAACTTGAAGGCTGCAGTTCTAGACACCACGTCTATAAGTCCTTGTCCTCCCTCTGAGACGGGTAGGCAAAGAGCAGAGGCTCTGATCCAGTGGTGACCGGACCAGAATAATTTACCAACAGCTTCTGAGCACCTTCCAGCAGACCCGGTGGTGGAACCAGTACAATCAGTCTGCACCACAGAAACGAGGCAACAAGGGTGTTTGCTATCAGCACCCTGCCCCTGTAGGACAGCTGAGGGAGAACCCATTTCCATTTAGACAACCGCGCCTCCACCTTCTCCAAGTTCTGTTTCTGAAACCTTTCACTACCCAAGTACAGGCCTAGTGTTTTAATACCTCCCGTTCCCCACCTCAGCCCTTCTGGCAGAGGCGGGACATTACCAAGGTCCCACCCCCCCACTACACATGCCTCACTCTTGTCCCAGTTAACCTTAGCTGAGGATGCATCCTCATATAAAAGTAAACTAGATCTGAGTTCTTGTACATCCTGCTGATCATGGATAAAAACATTCACATCATCTGCATAAGCAGACACAACTAAGGGAGGACTAGAGACAGGTAAAGGTAGGTGTAGACCTTTCAGCCTGCTCCTTAGCCGACACAGCAGCGGTTCAATAGCTAAAATATACAGTTGTCCTGAGATGGGACAACCCTGTCTGATTCCTCTTAGAACAGGTATGGGTTGACTCAGGCCCCCCGCTACCTTCACCATACAGCTGACATTCCTATACAGCATCTTAATCCCTTCCAGAAAAGACCCCCCAAACCCAAAAGCCTGTAGCGTAGAGAACAGGAACTCATGATCAACCCTATCAAACGCCTTTTCCTGATCAATAGAAATGATACCTGCATTCACATCATAAAGGTTACAAACGTCAAACACGTCTCTCATAAAAAATAAATTGTCCATTAGTGACTTTCCTGGTATACAGAAGGACTGATCGTCTGGGATTAGACCTCTGATGAATCCCCGAAGTCTATTAGATAGGAACTTAGAAAAAATCTTATAGTCTCAACACAACAAGGAAACTGGTCTCCAGTTTTTTAGTTGGGTTAAGTCCCCTTTCTTTGGCAGCAGGGACAGAACGCCCCGCCTACACGATGCAGGAAGTGCTCCTGTCTGAAGCGACTCTCTAAAAACATCCATCAGGTCCTGTCCCACACTGCTCCAGAAGAATTTGTAGAAGTCGGCAGGTAAACCGTCTATCCCCGGAGATTTACCTGCAGCCTTCTGGGAGACTGCCGTTGTTAGCTCCTCCATAGTTATGTCTGCATTTAAGATTCCCTGGTCAGCTGTGGTCAAGGAAGGAAGCCCCTGCAACAGCTCTCTGGCACAGTTCACATCACATGGGGCGGCTTTAAACAGGCTGGTGTAGAATTCTACTGCATGTTTCCTCATCTCCACTGGGTCTGTGGATAACTGTCCATCTGGTAGACGAAGGCCAACCATTTGTTTTTTCTGGTTTGAAGTCTTTTCCAGGTTAAAAAAGAAGGATGTCGGAGCATCCATGTCCTGTATCGTGGTGAGACGAGCCCGGATCAAGGCCCCTTTGGCCCTCTTGCAGGAAACGCCCAAGCTGCTGTCTTTTTTGGTCTAAGGTGTGCTGTTGTTGAGTAGTAGAGAGAGTCTCTAGCGTCCTGATGTCCTTCTCTAGATCTGCCATAGTCTTTTTTATTTGGATTGTAGACCCCCGCGTGTAATGTTGACAGAAAACTCTAATTTGTGCCTTCCCTTGTTCCCACCATTCACTGATAGTCTTAAAATCATTCTTTTTGGACCGCCAAGCCTCCCAGAACAGTTTAAAATTGTAGCAAAAGGTAAAATCGTGTAATAACTTTACATTAAAGTGCCAGTAGGATTTTGTTGTCCCAACAAAATGAAGCATCAGTTCAGTTGTAACCAAATGATGGTCTGTGAAAATAGCTGGGACTATTTGACAGTCCATCACTCGAGAGAGAAAGGTACCAGAGACATAAAATCTGTCTAATCTAGCAGCACTAACTCTTCCACCTGACTTTTTGACCCATGTGTATTCTCTACCTGATGGATTCTTTAATCTCCACACATCCAATAAGTCTGTTTTTGTTAGGATTTTTGACAAAAGGGTAGAAGATTGAAGATGTGGTTCCTCCCCAGATCTATCTAGAGTAAAATCTATACAACAGTTCCAGTCTCCGCCCAAGATGGTACATTCATCAGCAGTAATGCTATTCAACTCCTCCCCAAGTATGCTAAACATCTCTCCCCTCTCTGATCCCTGGTTGGGTGCATAAACACTGATGAGGTTTATCATAAAGCCTTCTAGTGTGGCTTTGACCCATAGGACCCTGCCCTGCACTACAGTCGTTACTGATATAATATTTATCATCAATTTAGGGGAAATTAAAATAGCTACACCTGCACTTGTGTTTGTGCCATGATTTAGGAAACATTGACCTCTCCACCCCAGCCTCCACTCTAATTCGTTTTTAGCATCACTGTGTGTTTCTTGCAGGAAAATAACAGGAGAGAGAGAGAGAGAGAGAGAGAGAGAGAGACAGAGAGAGAGAGACAGAGAGAGAGACACAGAGAGAGAGAGACAGAGAGAGAGAGTGAGAGACAGACAGAGAGACAGAGCGAGAGAGAGACAGAGAGAGAGACAGAGAGAGAGAGAGAGAGAGAGGGGAGAGAGAGAGAGAGAGAGAGAGAGAGACAGACAGAGAGACAGAGCGAGAGAGAGACAGAGAGAGAGACAGAGAGAGAGACAGAGAGAGAGAGAGAGAGAGAGAGAGAGAGGAGAGAGAGAGAGAGAGAGAGAGAGAGAGAGAGAGCACAGTCAGACTAAAAAAAAAATAACCCAAACAACAGCTGCTGTGCTCTGAGCTAATAAGGTCTTATCAATTGAGGCGTGAAGGTAACTTAAACTAGAACATAAAGATGAAAAAATTAACTCCTCGAAGCAAAGTGGTCATTACAGTGGACAGGTTCTCTAAATTGTATTCGTTTTTTGCTATTAAGCAAACCTGTTGAAGACTTCATTGCATTTGAGCCCCTCTATGTGGACTTCAGTAAGTCCAGCCAACATATTTCATGTTCAGAATGCACGCTGGTGGACATGTAGTAAATTATAAAAGTGGAAAGAGTACTAAAATTTCCTACTTAAGTACAAGTACCAATACTTTGATAATTTTTTACTCAATTACAAGTAAAAGTACTTGCCTAAATTTTTACTCAAGTAAAAGTAAAAAGTATCGTAAACAAAATGTACTCAAAGTAAAAGTTACTTAGTTACATTTTTGTCAGCGTAAGGATGGCTACATCTAAGCAGTGCTAAATCACAACGCCAGTTCACAATTCGCTCGTGTGCGCGCGCGCGCACGCACACACACACACACACACACACACACACACACACACACACACACACACACACACACACACACACACACACACACACACACGCTCAGCTTGAAGGAGGGATTTCTATCCAATCAGTGAGAACAGGACATCCACATTGATTGGACGAGGTTTTTCTAGGATGGTAAGTTTCAATTGTGATTAAAATTATTCTTAATTTTGAGAAAAAATATTTTTTTAGACGCCATCAGTATGTGAGGTATCTCGATGTTTTCATGACAAAACTCTAACATGAGACTGTGCTCTAACCTGTCACATAACATAACAAGCCTAATGCAGTCAAACATGTCAGATGGAGCGTATGACAGCTGCTAACGTTGGCCCTGCCCTACTTTACCTCTACATTACAGTTCCTTTATCCATGTCCATCCTAGAGCTCCTCTCTGACCTTCATGCTTATTTAGAGCAGCTGATTTTTAAAGTTAGCAGAGTTCATCCTTGGTAGTGGGTTCACTCACTCATTTAACCCTTCACCACTGAAATCAGTTTGTTCATTCCAATCCTCCTAAATAATCCTCCAATCATCCAACTGGAATCCTTAAGGGTCCCGTAACGTCCATCCTGTCAGAACAGGCCTTGGGAGCCCAGGTGTTACTAGAACTAATGATGTCTCCTCACCAGCGTGAGCCTCCAAACTGTGATGGTTGGACTCTAAACATGAACTTTAAATTCATGCATTTATCTCGTCTTGTAACACTTTAACATGTTTTAAAAGGCTTGTATCATGATAAGTTACACCTCCCAGACCAAAGAGAAGATAAAACATTATCGTAGATACTATTAAGACGTCATTATTTATGAAATATAAGTTATTTTCCTGAGCCATTACTTCAGCAAAGATATAAGATGCATGGATTTGATGAAACCACACTTTCTCATGCAGTCCTATATGTGTAACACACACACACACGCACATGCACACGCAAGCGCGCACGCACACACTGCAGCATGTTAGAAACAATTGAATGACTAATTAAACTACATTGAACTGCTTTAGTAATAATTTAATCTCTTATTCTGGAGTAAAATAAAGAAACAAGCTAAATCATCACATATCTGTGGCATCAAGAAGCAACTTCTGAGTTCAAACAGGGATGGAGCACAATGTTTACGCCTGAACAGTATCAGGATGTTTTAACTCGCAGAGGCCTGCAGGTCTTCTGTTTTATGAGCAGAGCGCTGATAATCCGCTTGTTATGAGCGCTAAACGTTATTTTGCTGCTTCCGTGCGGAGCGGTAGAGAAACACATTTCAAACACGGAACCGAGTCCGGCTACCGAACCGAGCAGAATTCTGACGACGTCACACCGGGAGGAGAGAGGAGGTAAACAGCGAGTTGATCGACTGAACTGATGTCGGAGCAAAAGTGTACACCCCACGGTTTAGACGCGGCGCTCATGCAGGTGTCTCTTTCTGTTCCGACGCTGCTACACGTAATATTTTTAATTTATTAAGCCTACAATTTATTTTTACTCAGTAACGGATATCATTTAAAATGTAGCGGATTACAATTCTTTTTAAAAAACTTACTCAAGTAAAAGTAAAAGTACAGCTTTTAAAAAGGACTTAAAAAGTATAAATATACAAATAAGCTACTCAATTACAGTAACGTGAGTAAATGTAATTCGTTGCTTTCCACCTCTGGTAAATTATATGCAAATTATTAAATGTTACAAAAAATATTTGTTGAAATTTGTTTCATTCACACCCGAAGATGAATGAAAAACATTGTTAAATAATCATGGTTGGAGATTTCATAATTCATGCATCAAAGGGTTAAGCACTGACCAAATATTTAATTTAATTCCTGGTATTCTGGTGGTTAATATAATTTGAACTATAAACGTCTTAACATCTATAAACACTTTTAGTGGCTGAAAGGGAAAGGGTTTTGGTGGAATCCCTCAATTTGAGAAATTGACTGTTTATCAGTACTTGGTAGTAAATGAGTGCCCAAATAAAAGCTAAGAGTGCATATTTTAGTTTTTACCATTCATACACAAAAACAAACAACTAAAAAAAAGATTTTACCGAGTTTTTAAACAGAAGCCAATCTGGAACCTCAGACAAGAGCATCAGCAGCTCCAGCTATTTACCTCGGATCTGTCCACGAGGGACAGTTGGACCAATCTGGCTTTTATCCGTGGGTGGTCGGTGGACCTGGGATGAGTCACAGTTCCTCAGAGTGCACGGTTCTGTGGACGATATGTTCAGCATCTGAGGAAAAAGAAGAGGAGAGTGTACGGAGGAAGAATAAAGACTCTGCAGGACCATCTATGGGTTAAATGTCCTAAAAGAATATACACGTGCCACACAGTCATTCAGCAGCATGAAGAGGAGGTCTATGCTGCGACCTGAGTTCTGTTCACCCTGGCGAAGAGTAGACCTCTCCAATCATCTGAGGCCTGGTGGTCGGAGGGGTAGTTTCACAGTTTTGTAACACTCTGTTGGTGACGCACCACCTCCCTCTTGTGGTCCACAGAAGAAATGTTTGTAATCATTGAAAGTCAAATAAGCTGTTTCCTTTTCCTTCTCTGAACTGTGATGGCTAGCTCACGAGGAGATAAATCTCTGCTCCGCTGGGCTCATGTGACCTCCTAGCTACTAGGGATGTAAGAAAATATCGATATGGCAATATATCGTGATATTTTTCCCAGCAATATTATATCGATATTCAAAAGCCGTGTGTCGGAAATATCGATATGGCAATATATCGTGATATTTGTTCCTGCGATTATTACATCGATATTCAAAAGCCCTGTATCTAATTCCTGAAAGAATTTACATGCAAACTTTTGTGTATTTTCTTTTTGTTGTGCGCAATTCAATCACCACCCGCTAGTTGGCAGCAGTATGCAACGGGATTTGTTTCCACCACTGAAATGTAAATCCCTCCATCATGGTTCAGATACCTCATGTTAAACATGTTACGTATCAGTTTGGACTGTTTATTGAACATTCTTACAATAAATTCAGTAAAAAAATTGCTTGTAACGTCTGACTGAATGTATCGCAATATATCGTGATGTATCGTATCATCTCCCCTGTATCGTGATATGTATCGTATCGCCAGAATTTCAAAAATACACATCCCTACTAGCTACATCACTATCAGGGCTCTTGAGCGACATTCAAAAGTACATCTACAAAGGCAAATACTCACACAGACACACAAGCCTACAAACACACACATGCAAACTAAAGGACACGTGAACACATATATGGACAGTGGCTTTTTTACATTTACTTTTGTATTTGTTGTTTATTCTCACATCTGCATTTTGCACGTTTTCTGCACATTCTGGTTCTGAAAGGCGGCGAACATGCCCTGGAGCTCACCCTCTGCGGGGCTGTCCCAAGGGATGACGTCTGTGTTTATTCGGATGAATATCCCTGTGAGCTTTCCATCTGTGATCGCCCCTTTTTCTGTCCGAGTACTCGAGGTAAACGAGAACTTCCTCACGTTTCCTCTATTTGGGTTTATTGGTCATTTTAACTTAGAGCATTTTCAGACTAAATGTAACAAAACCTCATTTTAAAACATTTGATGACTAAAATAAGTTTTAGTCTAAAAAATAAATAATAATAAAGATTCCTCTAGAAAAAAAACCTTAAAATAAGGTTAATAATCTTAAACATGATCCACATTTGCTTGTGTAGAGTGAAAAAATCTGCTGATGGGGTTAGCAAAAGCTGCTAAGCTGGAAATCTTAAACCTAAAATGTTATTTTGCTAGTTTTGATATTTCTAGCCAAGCAACTTTTGATGAACCCTTCGACAGATTTTTTTACTCAAAACAAGACAAACTGGATCATATTTAACAAAATTTACTTAATTTTAGGTAATTTTATTTTTCTAGAGAAAGATTTATTTTCTTTTTAGACTAAAAATAAGATTAAATATCCAAACTTGAGGATTTTTTTAACTTGGTTAGAAATCATTTTGTTGCAGTCAGGGACGCTATTAGGGGTGGGCACTATAAACGATATAAGGTAGAAACGATATAAAATTGGGTAATGATAGAGTTTTTGGCTATATCGCAATACCGCGATACCGCGATAACACATGACGGCACTAAGATGTGCACCCTGCTGACATCGGAACAACAGAATGGAGAGACTGCAAGAATGGAGTGGGCGGAGGAGGAGGCCTATATGCCTCAAGTGGCATAGATTTGCCACATGAGGATATTTAAAAGCATGTCATTTTGACACATATAAACAGAGGAAAACAATATATGGCAATATATATCGTTACCGTACATGCTTCAGATTATATCGCAATATAGATTTGAGGCCATATCGCCCAGCCCCAGACGCTATGCTGTCCTTTTAAAAGACACGACTGATTTCACCTAGAGATGCAACGATACCACTATTTTCCAAACCGATACGATACTTGGATCTGAATACTCGCCGATACCGATTACCGATACCGATACTCCTACCACACAAAAAAATGCAATGATTTGGAATACAGATTTTATTTTCTTCTCTGCTTTCAACAGGAAACAACTGTGAGGTCGATAAAAAATAAAATATATGAATGGAAATCATCACAAAACTAAAATATTAGGTAAACAGAAATGACAAGTTACAGGGAAGCCATTTTCAAGCAACTGCATTGGTATCGGTTAACTTTTACCGATACCGATACCAGTATCGTATCGGTGCATCCCTAAAGCCTGGTTTATGCTTCTCCGTCAGCTCCGCAAGGGACAGACACGCACGTATTGACGGAAGCATTTTGCTCTTTTACTTCTCCGTCTCCTGGAGAGTGTTGCAAAGCAATTGCCCGGCAGGACAACAGAGGGCGTAGCGTTGTTCTGTGGTATCCTGTCATGTATCGGTCCAAGATAGTGTGTTTATATTGTGTTTTTTGTGTTTATAAGAGACTTTTTAACACGGACATATTTGTCTCTCATTCTCCCACCGCTTCATGCGCTCCCCACCTCTAAACCCACGTTTCCTGTCATTTCCGTCCACAAATAAAACGCTTGCTGCACATCTTTTCACTCCTCCAGTCACGGGAGGATGAAACGTTCATATTTTTAGAGTTTTTTCGCGAGGTATTCTTCAATCTTCTCCGTGTCTGTCGCTAGTTATCCTCGGCTCTCTTTGCAATGGCGGCGCTGTAAACAACAGCGGCGTCCTGACCAATCACAAGCTTGCGTAATCCGTCTCGTTCGACGGATGTTTAAAAAAGTGGGCTCGACTCCGTACGTACTTGTGTGCCTGCCGGAGCCCTACGCAAGGACGGATAATGGCGTTGCGTGTCTCCGCACTGACGCAGACGGAGAAGCATAAATCAGGCTTAATTCCACCACCATCAGCTACACCTCCCTCCTCTTATTGGACCACCAACCACCATCATTCAAGCACAACTAGAGACATTACTGCTGAAAAGCCTCATTACCTCCACCTTCCCCTGCTTCAGGTAAAGGAAACAAATTGCTTTTGTCTGTTTGATCAGGTAGTCCTGAAACCCAACCGAGGCGAACGAACGCGCGCACACACACACACACGCACACACACACGCGCACACACACACACACTACTTTTTCTTCTGTGTTTTTTTAGCAGTAGTGTCATCAGCTCCTGGGTTTAAATACTGCCACACCACCCTTCCTTAAAACGAGGAACAGTTTTGAGCTGTGTGTGGCTAAAATAACCAGACATTCTGCATTTTTCCAATAGGACTACAAAAAATCTTAGCGAGAAGAAAAAATGGCGGATTGGCTCTGTGTTTAGCCGAGGGCCATGACCATATTTGGTAGTTATCCTGACGAAATAAATGACTGATGTAATAGATAATTTGAAAAACTGAACGGGTGGACAAATATGCCCAAAACTTAATTATTAAATATCTAAATAGCAACTCCAGTGAATAATATAAGCTGTTTTGCTCACTTAGACACTTAAAATGTGAAACACGCTGTGTTAATGGATTAAAAAAGTGGGTTTTTCATGTTATGTCTCCTTTAATGACCCCAATACCGGCCGGGCCCTACTTTTTATTTCTCAAAAACGACAAGGGGAAATGGACTTTCAGACTTAATGAAATGTGTCCTTAAAATTAGAGGTGAGCAAAAAACTGAATACTTACAGATACCAACATGTATGACTTTAGTAGCATCATTTTGCCCGTGTCGGTATATTCAGTTTCTAAAAAACGGATGAAAGTGATGAAACAGAGGCTGGCAGCGGCGACGGATAAGGTCAAAGAGAGAGAAAGGCTTGTTCCCCTAAATAAAAAGCTTCATCTAGTTTGGCGACATTTTTGATTCGGCAAAGACGACGTCAATGAAAGACCAGCTGTCCCTGCATGGAAGGACTGTTGTGAGAAGTGTAGGCAACTAGAGGTGGGAAAAATGATCGATTCTAAGATGCATCACGATTCAGCCGTGCATGATTCTGCATCGATGCGGCAACGTGACATAATGAGATTTTCTCCCTATGTCTATGTTCTGGACGTGCGAGGACAATAAAGTTTTGAGGTTTTATAATTACTTCTGGGGGCAGAGTTGCAATGACATGCGCACTGCGTTGCCCTAGCGCCAATTTAAAACAGAAAAGGCGGACAGGGATACAGGGCCAACATTACCAGTAATCAAAGATGTACCCGTGACATTTAAATCGGATGTCTGGGCTAATTTCGGTTTTGGGATCCTGGATGTGAAAGAATCACTTAACACAGTATTTGTTTACTATTTTTAAGTTCAGTAATATTCTATCTTGAAGCTGCTCTACCGAAAACATTATTTCTTATATTATTTAAGTAATTATAGGCAGCACACTTTAAACATTATTGCTCACTATAGTGAATAGATGAATGTTCTGTTTTTCAGGGATTTCAAAATAAAAAAATTGAAAACTATTCTTTTGCTTTTATTAAGTAATGAAAAGTTTTGTGTGAAGAATCGTGATGCATTTCAGACTCAAATCGAATCTTTAGGCAGATAATCGGAATCGGATCGAATCGTGAGGCAGGTAGAGATGCACATCCCTATAGGCAACACACCTCCAGCTGCAGAACAATCAGGCTTTATAGAGAACCGAATTACTTGACAACTCAAATGTAACAATGTTCTACGTACAAATCGATTTTGAATCAGCATGTGTCACGCCGCGATGCATCGATTAAATCAGTGTTTCTCGACCCTGGTCCTCAGCACCATCCTCTCCTGCATGTTTCTCTGCTGCCACACAGCTGACTTACACAAACGAGTGATTGACAGGCTTCTGCAGCACTTGATGTCAACGTAAGGAGGCAATGCTAATATGTTAAGCATCAGTCTAATGTGCTCTGTTATGCTCTGTTATGTTATGCATCTGTGTAAATTTGTAAATAAGAATGTGTGTGTGTATATACATGTATGCTTTTATACTGAAAAGTACCTGTAGAGGAAGTTAAACTTTGACCTCGTAAATTGACCAATAAAAGGGAGCATTGGTGTTTAGTGGCCGCAATCAGTGTGTGCTACCACCAGTGAAGGCCCGTGAAACAGACGCTCTGTTTATAGATTTATTTCCTCCTTTTTAATCCTGGAGATTCATTTTGGAGTCTTGGACCAACCGCTGGGTAAACGAAACTCTGCTAACAGGTTATGGGCCCAGAGCAGAGCCCAGAGCGATGCCCGGACCAGAATGAATTGTGAACCAGGAACGCTGAGCACCAAGCTAATCAGGACAGCTGGGAAAGCATCCTGCTAGTGTGTGAGGAGCACAGAACCGACCAACAGCAGGTCCGGTGAGTCGAGTGAGAGCTACGACGTGTGTCGGACACTATGAGTCGGAAGACAGCGGAAGCCAGTACCCGCTGGTCAAGACTGGTATTTGACGGAGACGAGGATAAATATGAACTGTGGGAAACAAAGTTTCTCGGACACCTCCGGCTACAAGGTTTGAAAGACATTATATTAAAACCGAAAGACGATGATGATGATGAGGAATATGATTCAAAGAACGCAGAGGCATATGCCGAACTTATACAATTCCTGGATGATAAGAGCCTTTCACTGGTGATGAGAGACGCAGCTGACGACGGGCGGAAAGCTCTAATTATCTTGAGAGAACACTATGCCGGGAAGGGAAAACCCTGCATAATAAGCTTATATACAGAACTGACTGCATTACAGCAGAAGAGCGGCGAGAGTGTAACGGACTATGTTTTGAGAGCCGAGGCCGCCATTACAGCGCTGAGAACCGCAGGTGAAACTTTGAGCGATGGACTGCTAATAGCAATGGTTTTAAAAGGTCTACCTGAATCATTTACGCCTTTTAGAATCCATGTGACACAAAGTGATGACGACATGACTTTTTCAGAATTTAAAAGTAAACTGAGAAGTTATGAAGAAACTGAAAAACTGCGTTGGACACTGCCACAGAGGACAATGTGATGGCAGCACGGATGAATCAGAGGGTCAAGCACCTGAAGCCGAAATATGTTCAACCAAGCATGCACGAGCGGAGCGCTGATAGTAAAGACTTTATTTGTTTTAAATGCGGTAAAAAGGGACACAAAGCTAATGTATGTGACCGCAAAAAGTGGTGTAGGCATTGCAAGACCACCACGCACCAGACTGAAGTGTGCAGAAAGAAACACAGAGATGATGAAGCACGGAAAGCTGCTGATGACTACGAGGGAAAGGAATACGCATTCCGACTACAAGACGCTGACGGCGAGATGGACGAAACCAGAACCAGGAATCTGATGGTGGACACAGGAGCAACGTCCCACATTATCACGGATCCAGAGAGGTTCAGGAGGTTCGACGAGGACTTCGAGCCGAGGTCTCATTACATCGAGCTGGCAGACGGAACCCGGAGCAGAGGAGTGGCTGAACGGAGAGGAGAGGCTGTGGTAACATTGATCGACAGCAGAGGGGTTCAACACAAGGTGGTGCTAAAGAGAGCACTATACATCCCTTCATATCCACAAGACATATTCTCTGTGAAGGCAGCTACTACCAATGGAGCAACGGTCATCTTCAAGCGAGGTAATAATGTACTGAGACATTCTGATGGAACGAGATTCCCCATCAAGGAGTACAACAGACTATTCTATCTACGAACTGTGAGTAGAAAACAAACAGACCAATGTAATGCTTCTTATGACCTGAAAACATGGCATGAGATAATGGGACACTGCAATTTTGATGACATTAAGAAACTGCAGGGAGTAGTAGATGGGATGGACATCAAGGATAAAACTGTTGGAACAGAAAGAGACTGTGAAGTCTGTATAAAAGGTAAATTTTGTCAGACAAGAAATAGAGAGCTGGACACTAAAGCTAAGACTGTTTTAGAACTGGTGCATACAGATCTGGCAGGGCCAATAAGTCCAGAAACAAAAGAGGGATTTAGGTACGCTGTTTCATTCACTGACGACTTTTCCGGTGCAATATTTGTGTATTTTCTCAAACACAAAAGTGATACAGTGCAAGCAACAGAGAAATTCATTGCTGACACCGCACCATATGGTACCATAAAGTGTATACGTTCAGATAATGGAACTGAGTTTACATGTGGACAGTACCAGAAACTACTCAGGGAGAATAGGATAAAACATGAAACTTCAGCCCCTTACTCCCCACACCAGAACGGCACAGCTGAACGAAGCTGGCGAACGCTTTTTGATATGGCAAGATGTATGCTCTTAGAGAGTAACCTACCGAAGTCCTTATGGGTTTATGCTGTTCAAACGGCGGCCATTACGAGGAACAGATGTTATAATAGACGTTTGAAAGCAACACCATATGAACTGTTAAGCGGTAGAAGACCGAACTTGTCAAGAATGCACAAATTTGGTGTACCCTGTTTTGTGTACAAACAGAACAAAGGGAAACTTGACTCTCGAGGTGAAAAAGGGATTTTTGTGGGTCATGACAAAAATAGTCCAGCATATTTGGTTTATTTCCCAGAAAGTGGTAAGATTCTGAAACACAGATTAGTTAAGTTTTTAACAAGAGAACCTGAAGAAGAGACACAAACAGAAATAGTGTCAGATGATGAACCAGAGTTCCTAGTTAGGACAAGAAGAGAGGTTAAAGACAAAACACCCGGGCAGAAAGAGGAAGACCCAGGAGAAGGAACGAGTCATACAAAACCTCTAGAACCAGAACAAACATCGCGTTATCCCACCAGAGAGAGAAAGAGACCGAGCTACTTGAATGATTATGCAACAAAAGGTTCTGTAAGAGAGGATGATGATCAAGTTTTAACTAACTTGGACTATTGCTACAGACTTTTTACTGATGCACCATTAACTTATGGAGATGCAATAAAATCACCTGACTCAGAGGCATGGAAAGCAGCCATGGAGGAAGAACTAGCCTCACTGAAGGACAATGACACTTTCACTCTGACAACTTTGCCAGAAGGCAGAAAGACAGTGGGGGGAAGATGGGTGTTTACCATTAAAAGGAATGTAGATGGAACAGATAAACATATGCTCGCAGATGTAATGACTAAACCTACAACTGTGTGTAAGCTGAACAGGTTCAACAAACTGTTATTTGGAATGTAAAGTTAAAACAAGAAGACAAGTGCAAACACTCACAGAGCAAGTGGGGGTGTTAAGCATCAGTCTAATGTGCTCTGTTATGCTCTGTTATGTTATGCATCTGTGTAAATTTGTAAATAAGAATGTGTGTGTGTATATATACATGTATGCTTTTATACTGAAAAGTACCTGTAGAGGAAGTTAAACTTTGACCTCGTAAATTGACCAATAAAAGGGAGCATTGGTGTTTAGTGGCCGCAATCAGTGTGTGCTACCACCAGTGAAGGCCCGTGAAACAGACGCTCTGTTTATAGATTTATTTCCTCCTTTTTAATCCTGGAGATTCATTTTGGAGTCTTGGACCAACCGCTGGGTAAACGAAACTCTGCTAACATAATATGTGAACCGGGTATGCTGTAGCAGAGACATGGAAAAGGTGCAGGACGGGGGGGGGGGGGGGGGGGGGGGGGGGGTTGGGGGCACCAGGGTTGAGAAACACTGGATTAAATGGTGAATCAGCATACCCCTAGTTCCCAGTGTCCATCTCCCTTAGCTGTGGTTGTCCAATCATCTGGAAGCGCCTTATGACCACCCAGAGCCCGTCTCAGCCCCTCCCTAAAAACCACACAACAGTCCACCACTTCTTTCTCGTCATCTACGTAACCATCAGAAGCATCACTATCGGGTTACGCTCTCAACTGCTGCTCCTTACAGTTGTTCATCTCCGTCAGGTAGACGCCGGGAGATATGGCCTACAGTCCAGATCACGGTCAATTGAGGAATTCACCTTGGGCGATAACTACGTGCATGTGCAGAAACAAAAGTTGTCCTCTAGATCAACTGTGTCATCTGCGTCTGTTCCCGTAAGTCAAACTATGCTCCTGTTTGCTTTGGGAACAGGTGTTCACTACAGGCCACTATCATTGTTTCAGTCGTTTCTTTTTATTGTTTACATTTTCACATTGTTTTTATTCAGATCTTCGTGATTAATGTACAGTATATCAGAAAGTTGAAGTATAAATTACCATAACTGAGGTACCTGGAACATCGTACCTGAGCAAAAGCATCAGCGATGTTCACTTGAAGAGTTCCAGTCAGAGCAGAGGCCATGTTGGTCCACTGATCGATGGGCTTCCTGGTCTTCTCCTCCTGCCTACTCTTCTGCAGCTGGAGGCTGGCACAGGAGATGACTTTGTTCTTCAGAGACTCCACCTTTGTGGAGATCTGGGACACACACACACACACACCTTCATAGATCAGTGACATTTCCTAGGTTCCACACAGCGGTGAAGTTAGCTTGAAGTTGGACGATGGACTTATTAAAGTCCCATCAGTTGTCACACACACAGGTGTGTGTGCGAAATTTGTTCTCTGCATTTGACCCATCCCCTGGGGGAGCGGTGAGCTGCAGACACAGCCGCGCTCGGGAACCATTTGGTGGTTTACCCCCAATCCAACCCCTTAATGCTGAGTGTCAAGCAGGGAGGCGTTGGGTCCCATTTTTTCCAAAGTCTTTGGTATGACCCGACCAGGAATCGAACCCTGATCTCCCAGTCTCAGGGCGGACACTCTACCACTAGGCCACTGAGCTGGTAATCACCACGGTCAGTGATAAGTCTTCATGCTGTGCGCTGCGCCAGTTAGCTGGGTCCTGAAGACTCGCTAATGGGAACTGTGGTTCGCTTAGGGACCATCAACAAATTTGTAGTCTTTTGTAAATGAGTACCACAAAAAAAAAAAAAAAGCTTCCAGAATAATTGCCTAAATGGCTCAAAATTACTTCTGACTTGTGTTAACTACATTTAAAAGATACAACAGTTTTTATAACATTGCACACAATCTGATCTTTTTTTACTGTGGTTTTTATCAGAAACTACGAGTTTTTTCAACAGCTCCTAGGTAAATCAGTCTGAATACCTAAAACCATTCCTCAGTGGTGTTACTTAGCCAGACCAATGAGACACAGCAGTTTGTTTCCACATTTTACAAGATCTGATCTTTTTTTATTGGGAGTTTTATAAAAAAAATTCAGTGATTTCTTGTAATAGCTCCTAAGTTAATTGATTTTAATACACAAGATAATTTCTCAATGATGTTACCAAGTTAGACCAATGAGACACAGCAGTTTTTATCACATTTTACAAGATCTGATCATTTTATTGGGATTTTTATGAAAAATAAAGTGATTTCTTTCAGTAGCTCCTCTGTAAATTGATGTTAATACCCAAAACAATTTCTCAAAGGTGTTGCTAAGCCAGACCAATGAGACACAGATGTGTTTAACATCTTTCATACAATACAATCTTTTTTATTACAATTTTTATCAAAAATTAAGTAATTTTTGTCAATAGCTCCTAGGTAAATTAGTCAAAATGCCCCAAACCTTTTCGCATTGATTTAATGTCACAAATGACCTTAAAAGGATGAATATAGTTTATTTTTGTTCTCATCATGCTGTTGTTTTGAGAAAAAACTTTAAACACACGCACACACACACACACACACACACAAATAAGCAAAGAGAAGGATGATAAATGATATGGATTTACAGTAAGGTCACAGAATTTTCTACCTATAAAAAATCATGACCAGCTTGTTATTTAGGGTCTTAAGTAGAGTCAAACGAGTCCAGACTATATTTAGGAGGCAGAAGAACCTAATTAAACAGTTTTATTCAACTTTTACATGAATAATATGGATTTACACCAGGGTCACATAATTTCTACCGATAAAAATTGTGACCAGCTTGTTTTACAAGTCAAGACTATATTTAGGAGACGGAAGAACCAAATTAAACAGTTTTATTACACTCATAAGCACACTGGGCCCAGGGGCCCCTGCAATGATAATCCGGCCCTGTCTGCAGTGCATCAAACATTTAAAAGGATGTAAAATGTTTATATTATTAAAAAATGTCCAATCTCACCATCCCGATATTCCACAGTGACCTTGTACACGGACTCTCCCTGCTGTTCTGATCTGTTCTGTCCAATGTTCTAAACAAAGTTCTCACCGACCTGGCCGGTGTCGGTGCAGGATCGGCTCGGGGTCCTTCGACTGCCGATGACGTCACATGACTGCAACTCTACTCGGCTTTCACACACACGTTTTGGAAAGACATCAGCAGTTTTGTTAATAAATTCTTGTTTGTTAACACCTAAATGTTTTCTTTATAACTGTAATTTGTTAATAAAACACCATATTATCTTTGTTTTGTAAAGAATGTGAAACTGCATAAAACCAACATCAGACTGACAAAAAATACAACAGTTCTTATACGTGAAGCCATATCTGTTAGTATTAATGTGGAGTTTGTCTGTATATTTCCTTAGTTGTCATCCAAATGCATTCTTTGACTCAAAATATTGCTTGGTGTCTTTTAATAAAGCTCTTAGATGTTATTTTGCCCCATTTCATCAACATCAAGAGCTTTTGAGGGTCACCGTTTATCATTTGCTTATATTTTACATTTCATTTGGAAATTCAAACATATTTTCTCCAAAAACTGTTGATTTTTGGACTACTTGGGGCGACGGTGGCACAGGAGTTAAGTGCTCGCCCCGTAATCGGAAGGTTGCAGGTTCGAGCCCCGCTCAGTCTGTCGCTGCTGTTGTGTCCTTGGGCAAGACACTTAACCCATCTTGCCTGCTGGTGGTGGTCGGAGGGACCGGTGGCGCCGGTGCTCGGCAGCCTCGCCTCTGTCAGTGCGCCCCAGGGCAGCTGTGGCTACATCGTAGCTCATCACCACCAGTGTGTGAATGTGTGTGTGAATGGGTGAATGACTGGTTGTGTTGTAAAGCGCCTTGGGGGGTTCTAGGACTCTAGAAGGCGCTATATCAAATACAGGCTATTTACAGGACTACATTTTTTGTTCTGACCAATCAAAATCATAACGTGATAACGTAACTTTCGTAAGCTTCATGTTCAGCCAATCAACTACTTTGACGTCATCGGCAGTCGAAGAACCCCGAGCTGATCCTGCACCGACACCGGAACCAGAGGTCAACTGAACCTGTGTTCTATTTCGTCTAGTCTTAGCCCTTAAGCGAGCTGCTATTGGAAGGGTGATCTCAGCATCAGCCAATCATGAAGAGCTTAAATGTACGCCCACCACGTGGGCACCCCTTGTGGGTTATATAAGTGGAGCGACTCCACTGTTCGTCTCCGTTTTCTCTTCACGCCAAGCTTAAGAGCTTCTTTTAAGAGCAATTATACAAGAAAAATCTACTCAGCGACCATGTCCAGCGACGCCAGGACCTGCCCGGCCTGCCAGACGGGCTCCATCTCCAGCGGCGACCTGCACGCCAAGTGTGAGGTCTGTCTCGGGGCTCACCACGCTGGCCTGGCCTTGACCCCCAGGCCTCGTGCCCGTTTTGTACCGCTCTGCCCGTGGCTGAAAAGGTCCGCCGGGTCGAGTACTTCACCCCCTCCACCGACGAGGAAATTCCGGTGGCTGGCACGTACTCGCTGGACAAGGCGTTACGGTTCTTCAACGTCGGCCAGGAGCCGGCTGGCTCCTACCGATTGGACGATGTCATCGACAGCGAGGAGTACGACGAAGCTGGCTTCCATAGCCCTTCCCTCCAGTACAACACGGAGATCGACTACGAGGCTGGCTGCCATAGCCCTTTTTCCCTCCTGTACAACACGGAGGTCGACGAGCCTCGTGAGGAGCACGACGAGGCTGGCTGCCGCAGCCATTATTCCCTCCTGTACAACACGGAGGTCGACGAGCCTCGTGAGGAGCACGACGAGGCTGGCTGCCGCAGCCATTATTCCCTCCTGTACAACACGGAGGTCGACGAGCCTCGTGAGGAGCACGACGAGGCTGGCTGCCATAGCCCTTTTTCCCTCCTGTACAACACGGAGGTCGACGAGCCTCGTGAGGAGCACGACGAGGCTGGCTGCCGCAGCCATTATTCCCTCCTGTACAACACGGAGGTCGACGAGCCTCGTAAGGAGCACGACGAGGCTGGCTGCCGCAGCCATTATTCCCTCCTGTACAACACGGAGGTCGACGAGCCTCGCTCAGCGGGTCCTTCTGCCCCAGTGGTTTCTCGCTCCTCCCTGCCAGCAGTTAGAGCACTGCTCCAGGAGCTGCCCGCCATCATCTCCGCGGCTGCGACCCGCAGGTGGCTAGCCGTTCCAGAACCGGCTCCCCTGAGGCGGATGAATTGGCGGGAATTTTTGGGGCAACACAGACGCGCTGTCCAGACCCCGTCTGGCCGCACTTCCCCGCTGCCATGAGCTGCTGGTCCGCCGCCTTCTCCGAGCCTGCCAGGCTCGAGGCGCCAATTTCCACATATGCGCCCATTACCAAGGTCGAGGGCTTCTCCGACCAGGGCTGGCCATCCGTTCCTCCACTGGAGCCGGACTTGGCCTCGCTGTGTGGCGTCAAGAACCACCTCACTGGACCGCGAGCAGTTCCCACTAAGCATGACCAGCTGCTGAGGCGGCTCGCCGATCGCGCACAACAGTGCGCCTTCCAGACCGGCGCTGCAGGAAATAACATCGCCTTCTCGCCTTTGGCGTTTCCAAAATGGTGGAGGAGCTTGACTCTCCTGTCGAGTCAAAAACCATCATTACTAAAACTGCTGATGCCATCCTCAATCTGTGCGCTGCTGTACTCACCGGTTCTGCTCGCATTGCTGCCTGGCAGACCCTTATCCAGCGGCCTTGTGGCTCATGGCCCTGCCCTCCATTCCTGAACACCTGCACAGAGAGATGCTGGAAGGCCACATCACCTCTGACGTTCTGTTTGGTCCCCATCTTACGAGCATCATCTAGAGGGCTCAGCAGCTGAACTTTCAGCCACGGTGCGAGACCTGGTCCACTCTCGGTCAGCCTGCACTCCGGCCGTTCCCCCAGAGGATGGGACGAACGGCGCGGAAACTCCATGCGCCCAGCTGCACGGCCCGCCCCGCGGAGCCGGCCTCCCACTGAGGCGGGACCAGGGAGTTGGCGGCCAACGGTTCCGAACGAGCCAGCAGACACAGCCTTGGCAGTCACAGGAACCTCGCCGAAAACAACCACGAAAACGACTCGTTGGGGGGAATATGTGTGCTTATGGCTGCAATGTTAACTCTGTGAATTATTTTGGTTTTGAAATAAAAACCCAAAAAACGTCACATCGAGAGCAGAATCCTACAGTCCTCTGCAGAACCTTCTGCCGAATCCTCACACATGATGTTCCCCGCACCAAGCACTGCAGCACATCTGCATGTTCACACAGTCGGACTCGATCATGTTACACGGGTAGCTGTAAGGGTGCGCTCCATTTGCGCACCGCCCCCAGCCTACGGCCAGGCCCGACTCATCCCGCTTCCCCCACAACTTTGGGTGGGACGGGATGTCATGGCGCTGTCGCGACCACGCGCAAAGCGCGCACATTGCGCGGCTCTATCCGCTGGCACTTTGACGTTCCCGTGCACGAGCCCAGCTCCCACTCGTCCTTCATGGACTCCACGCTCTGCGGTGCGGATCAGCCTCTTCCAGCTGTTTCACACTTGCTTTTTCGATCACAGCCCTCCATGGGTCGCTCCCAGTTCTCTGGTACGAGCGACGGCGGTAAGGGCACGAAACCAATCCTCAGACGTTGCTCACGTGACCTCGAGCACACGTCCGCTGTCGGAACGCGCGCACGAATGCCTCCCTTTCGGCTACTCGCTAGCCCAGCGCACTTTCTCCAAATGTCCGGAGACCGCGCTGCAGCCACTGCACGGCGGAAACGAGGGTTTTATTTTACCGGGACGATCTGCTCCGATGCGCCCGGTCCGAGGACGGGGCGTCAGTGCAAACCAGGAGGTTAACAGAGCATCTGTCAACCCTGGGGTTTTCTATAAACTGGGGGAAGAACTCTGTTCTTCCATCCCAGTCGATTATGTTTCTCGGGGGGGAGCTGAACGCCTCTCTAATGAGAGCACGTTCGTCGCCGGTGAGAGCGGCAGATCTCACCACGGTGATCTCCCGCGTGCAACCCCGCGAGATCGTGAGAGCCCTGTTAGTCATGAGACTTCTGGGCATGATGGCTGCAGCCCACTCGGTGGTGCTGCTGGGGTTGTTGCGCTCGAGGCGCCTGCAAAGTTGGTTCATCTGCCTCCGGGTACACCCGATACGTCAGAAGAGACGTATGTTGAGGGTTCCCCCCTCAGTGGGCGGGGACCTCGCTCACTGGGGGAATCCCTGCATCCTCTCACGCGGGGTTCCCATCGGACGTCCTGCGTCACACGTATCTGTGTTTATGGATGCGTCACTGTCTGGGGTGGAGGGCACGTGCTTGTTACGTGGCAGATCGCTGGCCCTCCCACACGCACGAGCACATAAATGTGTTGGAGCTTATGACAATGAGGAATGTGTTCATGCACTTCGCTGCCCTTCTCGATGGCCGTCATGTCGAAGTTCACACAGACAACCAGGTGGCGGCAGCCTGCATAAATCGCCAAGGGGGACTTCGATCCCCCCCTCTATTGCGCATAGCCACAGGTTTACTGTGTTGGGCACATGTCCACCTGCTGTGCCACCTACATTCCGGGGATCCTGAATGTAGCGGCAGACATCCTGTCGAGAGGGGGTCCCCGCGACTCCGACTGGCGTCTGCATCCCGCGCTGATATCACAGATTTGGATAAGGTTCGGGGAACCGTGTGGATCTGTTCACGGCTCGCGAAAACGCTCAGTGTCGCCTGTGGTTTTCCCTGAGTCTCCGGGACCAAACCTCGCTCGGAGCGGACGCCTTCTCACACCAGCCCGGGCTTCGAACGCTCCTTTATGCGTTTCCACCAGTCCCTCTGATTCCCCGTCTCCTGGACCGAGTTCGGTCAGAACAGCTCTCGGTAATTCTGGTGGCTCCCAGACGCTTGTCCGCGTCATGGCTTCCGGACCAGCAAGCGCTACTGTCCGGCTCCCCGTGGAGACTCCCGCGAAGGGAGGACGCCCCTCCCCGGGCGGATGGGATAATCAGACATCCTCCGGAAATAAGCCATCGGCTGTGGGTCTGGCCGATGAGCGGTTTCGATTAGGGGTTTCTGGGCTGCCGCATGATGTGGCCATCACAATTCAGAGTGCGCGGGCGCCCTCTACCATTGCATCTTACGCTGCTAAATGGGCAGCTTTCCAGAACTGGGGCACAGAGCGGAATGTTCAAGCGCTCTCCTGCCAGCTGGCGGATGTCCTATCGTTTCTGCAGATACTGATGGACAGGGGCCTCGCATTCAGCACTGTTGAGACATATGCTGCAGCTATCTCATCCTGTCACCAGGGTTTTGGTGATAGATCTGTTTTCAATCATCCCCTCACAAAACGTTTTCTAATAGGTGTCAGAAGGAACAGACCTGTGTCCCGTCCGCTAATTCCCCAGTGGGATCTAACGGTGGTTCTGCGTGGCTTATCTGAAGCCCCATTTGAGCCCTTGGACCAGGTCTCACTCATGTTCCTGTCACTTACAACTGCCTTGCTGCTGGCGCTAGCATCAGTCACGAGAGTGAGCGACCAAACCGCCCTCTCAGTGGCTCCCGCATGCCTCAGGATCCGGAAAGATGGCGGGTCTGCTGTTTTATGCCCCAACCCAGCCTTTGTGCCCAAAAAACATTAATACTTCCTTCAAATCCAGGTCAATTTCATTGGCTGGACTTTTTCCTCCTCCCCATAATTCTGAGGAGAAGGCGGCTTCCCATCTTCTCTGCCCGGTGCGCGCGCTCGCACGATATGTGTCACGCACTTCAGGGATTCGCCGCTCACAAATCATGTTTGTGCACTACAGGGAGTCTTCCCTTGGGCAAGCGCTGTTGGCCCAGCGCCTTTGACTCTGGCTATGTGACGCCAGTTCACTCGCTTACACATCATTGGGGCTGGATCCTCCTGAGACACT